CGCATGTAATGTGTATATTATATATATATATATATCCGTCACATGTTTTTGCAATTGAACATGTGGGTGTGTGAAATATGTGGCACATGTGGTCACATGTGTACATATAGTTATATAACTATATTGATGGAGATGGCGATGGAGAAACATAGATGGATGCATAGTGGTCCTAATGATTGTTAATCATCCAGTGAGACGTAAATGAATCTACCGTTGTTTTCCTCATTCATATACCCATATCATCCCATATTCTATAATACACCTATACTGTGCCTATACTTATATATAGGTATGCATATGACCCTATCTTGATGTAGATATTCACAGTGTTGTTGATGTTGAACCTTTTGTCAATGGATTCCCTTAAGGGAAAACATATATACAGGAAACCCCCATACTTCATGGGAAAATCCCTGGTTTCCTGTAGATTTTCCCTCAAACCAATCCATTGATTTTGTGAATATCTCGCCGCCGCGGCCTTCCGCCGCATGTCCTGTGCTACCGAGGAGGTCTTTTTGTTGGTGCCCGCCACGTCGAGGCAGTTGGCCGCCGAAGCACTGGCCTCTGAGCTGGAACTGCTGGCACAAGAGCCTTCACGAGGTCGGCCGTAAGGTCCAGTGGGACCATCCAAAAAGAGCAAAATATGGTGGGATAGATCAAATGGGGGTCGTAGGGAATATCATGGGCATAGTACCTATATGATCCTATATGTACCTATCATGGGAGTACATTATTCCAAGTATTCTTAGCTCTTTTGGGAATGGAATGGGCAAAGCCGCTGCGGATATACTACCAAACCCATCACTGATGGGGATGCCGTATGAGGATAGAACCAGTTTTCATCCCCGCTGAGCTGATCAAATAGAGGTGACATGACTTGGGAACATCAGGTTGTGCCTGTCCTTTTTCACAAACAGCTTGTGTTCTTTTTGGATGGTTTTCTGAGCTGATATGTAGATACATAGTATCTACTGTATCAATGGGATTGCGGGTTGCTTCCCATGTGTGATCCCATGTGCCTAACTTTATAGAAATTGCATATACATGGCCCAGCAGTTGGCAAAGTGTAACATGCCAAGTAAGACAGGTAGGGGGGGAGAGAGGGGGAGAAAGAGCACGAGAATTGTTTAAATCGATCATGAGACAAGAGACGTTGATTGCAGCACTCCATGCCTACTGGATACATTTTAAGACACAATCAGGCTATTTTGATTAATATTCATTGTTTCTGCTAGCGGGGCAGCTTTGAGCACCAGCCATGCTGACTTGAGGTGTTGGCCAGACCTTCCAAGATGCCTCTAGGTTTTGGCATTTCAGATACAGATAGTTCAGCTGTCCCATCAATTGCCAGAGCTGGTCGACCCACTGCTTATCCCCACACATGACTCTGCAAGCAAGGGGTTGAGACAATATTGGGAAGATGATTGTTTTGTTGTATAGTTTTTTTTCTAGGATTGTTTGTCTTTTACTTGTTCATTTGTTGATCTAATCTGCAACGAACCACTGTGGCATTTTCGTGTCTATGGATGCTTTTCCCTATCACCTAAATTGTGGAGATCCATGAGTGATCCCGAAATGGAGGATTCTGGGAGCAGCAACTACTACTGTAGATTTTGAAGAGGTGAACGACATTCAGGAGACACTACTGAAAGATCCCACCAGATTCCAACAACCTAAAACTGGAAGAAGAACAACAACAACAACACAACAGAACGTCATCAAAATCCTACCCTAACTCTGCCAATTTTCATTTTGGAATCTTCAGTCTAATATGATCGCTAGCATTAACATGTGGGTTTGTTTGGCAATAGGGTACCTCAAGAATTTGATGAATAATCCTTGCTATCCTATCAAAAATTGCAATAGATTGCTATAATATATCAAAAATTGCGATAGATAGCTATGTGTATATATATATACTGCTATACTTCCATGTTCAGACGCATCCAGTTGTGAAAACCAACGTTGGTTGGTAAACGTCCCGGTGATTGTGAACATTGTGAACATCGCTGTCAAATATTTCGACAACAGAGATCCCCAATAGTTGGGTGAGGTTCACTTCGGACATCTACCATCATCTACCAACTCTTCTGGTTAATATTGGTTAATGATTATAGAATTGATTTATTACATTAGTACTTGAAGTACTTGGTGGCTCATCCCACTTAGTAAGTGGGTTATAACCCCAGTTATAAATGGGATAAGTAGGGTTAATCCACTTATAATTGGGGTTATAACCCACTTACGAGCAGTGGGATGAGCCACCAAGTAGCGATTCACATGGATTTCCCACCAGATCCTTATCCAATTGGGACCGAGGTTTGGGCGAAGTTACCTTGGCGTTGCGAGCCCTTGACGCAGGGCCGCCTGGAGGCGGCCGCGGAGCGCTGCGCAGAGGTCCAGATGCGTTCCGCGTGAGGGGCTGGAGGCTGCGGAGGGGAGATGGGCGAGATCCCAAAATGTTGGAAGCCGGGACTCCCGGGACAAGCCAAATCTTGGAATGAAGGTTTTGCAGCCAGAGACCCCAGATCAGTTACAAAACCTTTATGGTACAACCAATTTAGGGTACCAATTTAGGGTACACTACGGTGGAAATGATTGTGAATGTGTCATCTTGGGCCAATCTTGGGTCTAGTTTGGTTACTCTAGTTTCGGCGTATTGGGATCACAAAAGTGACCGCAGGAATGTCAGTCTTAGTTTGGTAGGGATGGGATGGGGCCACATCCCACCGAGAGGCTCCAAGACCTGAGATTCCATTTTTGACAGCATTTAGGCTGGAAAATTACCATTGGCATCGATTGGCACAATTATGAAGCCTTTAGGCCCCAGAATGGAGTGCCAGTCCCAGAAATGCCCATGGCTCTGCCCATGAAATGTCCATGAAATGCCCATGAAATATGAAGCATTTTCCCAACATCGTTGAGCTTCTGGGCACGCCAGGACAGCGATATTTCAGGTCGATTTTCGTGCCCGGCAGGGCTGCCAGTGTGGTGGGGAGCGCCTGGTAGCACCCAGCACTGGTGGGAGTGGTTCGGAAGCAAATCTTGACCGCCTTTGGAACCCCTCTACTAATTTGGACAATTGGATGAAAATGGAATGCTAGATTTTTGGTGCATTGTAGCATTTTTTTCTGAAAATTCATGGGTTTCTCATTGTTCCACCTGCCAAAGGCAGCCCATGCAAGAGTTACTAAACTCAGCACATCTCGACACCCTGGGGACGGTTTCATTGCTGTATAGACGATCTCTAAACTAAATACCCCAATTTAGAGCATTTTGTCCAAAACCCAAAGAGAGTGGATGGCCTTGCCCATTTGTTGATGCAGGGCCACCCCCCGACACTCCATCCATGTGTTGGCTGAGCTTCAGCTGTTGGTGCGCCATGGGCGCAAGCGCGGCTTGCGCCCTATGACCGGGAAAATGTGACGTGTGGAGCTGCTGATCGGAAGGAGAGATATACCAAAATGCGAAGGAAGCAATCCTTGTGGATACAAGGGCCAAGAATCTGGGTGTATTAATTATATAATATATATGTTTGTGTATATACATACATGCGCGTATAATATATCAGACCAATGTGTGTGATATACAAAATATATCCTTGTATTGTATTTGCAAACATCTGTATGTACATGTTATATATATAATATATACATTATGTTATATCATGTGCATATATATATATATATATGACGTACATACACACACACATATATACACATATATACATGCACATATATTTTGTAGCTGGGTGTTGGCATTTTGACTGTCTAGTGCTTGTACAAAATTATTACCACGATGGAAGATCCATGCAGATCCATGGTTATTTTCCGGGAGTTATTGTGGTCATGGAATCGAAAGGTACTGAAATACCACCCCCAACAATAGGCGGCTTACGGAGCCCCTAATAAGGGTTGATGGTTGTTAAAAACATCTAAATCACGCAGTGGATAGAGAAATGGAAATGCAACAGGACATAGGTGATTCTTGCCATACACTCTTTTTTAGCGGGGCATGGCCACTCCTTTAGCCATTGGCAAAGCTCTGGGACAGTTTGGGACATTGATGGTTCAGGAGTTCAAGATAGCCATCTATTCACGAAAGGTAGCGTCAGCTACCTGAGTTCTCCGTGCTTCAGCACAATCATAGGGGGTATTGGGGGGCCAGCCCGTGCAATTCATGGAATTCTCGCCGTTATGTATTGGATATCAATTATAAGGGGGGGGGCCCCCCCCCCTCTAAAATGGTCATGGGTTCAATTCCCACGGGTGACGCGGTCACGGGCCCCCACATTAGAGGCACACTTTCCATGAGGGAGATGTCCCTGTAGTCCAGCATAATTGGTATGCTTCAGCCTCAATAACAGTTGCTGCAAGGGGGGGTTTTAAATAAACCCCTTTTCGTGCATCATTTCACGCTGCACAAGACACCGTATCATGCAGTCATGCTCTGGATAAAATCATCTTAGACTGCGTAAAAACGTTTTTGGTGTATCATCTTAGGGGCGCAGCATTTTGACACCACTCCTCTCCCACTACACTACCTTTCGTCCGCCTCCGCCTGCTCTCAAGTTTCTTTGGACGTGATCCTGCAGCTATTTGATCGGGTTTGCGTCACTTCACATGAGGGTCACAAGCTTGAAAAACAACAGAACCAGAGGAGTACTATCAGCAGCAAGCTTTCTATGAGACTAGCTGCTTCAAAATTTTCAAAAGGCCAAAGAATGGTAGCTTAGTCTATCCATTCGGGTCGGGCCATGATGTCATGGTTTTTACACCAAGCCCCATATGTATTCTACGGCCGCTTGCTGTCAAAAGTGCTGAGCAAGTCCTGTGACCAATATTCAAAACAACCAGGGAAACACCGAGATGAATTTCCCGCCTTTTAAAGTCGGTTCAGTTTATAGCCCTGTTTCATCTTGTTTCTTGTTCGTGGGTAGTATGGGCATAGCTCCAAAGACGGTGAAAAGTCAGTCCATTCTTGTGATTGATTGGCAAGACATTTGTTGCTGCTGCTGCGGCCGTGCGGCCGTTTTCAATGCCACCGTCCCTTGGTTGTGAAATCCAATTTTTACAGGTCTGGCAGAGGTGAACATTGGATGAAGTTGGTAAGCATAGAGTCCATCTTCATGTCCAGGATTGGCTGAAGGTGACTAACTGTTTGTAATATATATATATATATGTCTTCCAACCTGCTGCCAACCTCCTCAGTATTTGAAAACCTTTGAGCAAATGCAAGGTCCTGCTAGCTGCACAATTTACAGTATCCAAGGCTATGTTTTCTTGTTATCATTGTTGCGATGGCATATGTTTGAACTCCTGAATGAACAAATTGGTTCAATCGCACATGTTGAGTATCATGATGTGCCTGGCATTGCCTGGCTGCGCCGCCTTTTCCATCAGGAATCCTCCAACGGTGCACAAGCATGGAGTGGAAATCATGCAACTTGGTGGGCGTCCAAATGGTAGGCACGTCTTGTCAGGAAATCCAAAATTTCAGGATGCCCAGCCTTAAGACTTGTTTATTGCTGTAATCTCAGGAAGAGTCGATAATGTGGCTACAGATTTGGCTTGCCACAGTAGCGTACATGACTGATTCTGTCCTCTGTGTAGCATGTGGGCCACCAAATCTTTACAAGCCTACATGGGCCGATCAAGTGATTGCACCGTTTTGATTGAGGGATGAGTTGAAACAAGCAGCCAGCTTACTTTTGAATGAAGCAGGGGTATCGGGTATCTGAAGCAACAAATCAGTGTTTGCTTGGGCACCCTCAGGTATCTGTGCGACGGCGAGGTCCCATATGTCTGCATGGAGAGCGGGCCTGAAACTGAGAAAACAAAGCAGATCACCAAGCTAACTCTGGCAATAACTCTGCTTATCCGGTTTATTCCTACAACTTACAACTCTGCTGCTGACATCTATAAAGCAGCCATATTGGCAGAATGTTCTCGCGAGGTCGCCCTTCCATGAGTACGCATCCAGCATGCTTCAATGCGCCCTCAGTAGTGGTACCAAGGCGAGGAGTTTTTAACAAATCACGGTGGACGACGGTGGATGTGATAACTGTTTGATATCCAAAGACCCACATGAAAGGCGGTGATGGGATGTGCATAGTATTATTTTTAATTACATAATATATATATACATGTAATTATATGCATATTATATCATATTATCACATATATTTGCGTATTTATATACGCACAATGGGTGTGTGTATGTGTTTTTTTGTTGATTTCCGCTGCCAATTGTGATCGACTCAGAGACTCACCAGGCAGATGGCCTCTATACCTACTGCAACGATAAGCGACTCAATGTCGCAACTTGCTCGTTGAGCTTCCAGGTTGTTCTTGGTTCCTATAGCCCCTATATGAAACAGCCTGAAATCATGATAATTATAAATGATAATCATGGTTGCCTAGGGGATTCATAGACATTTTTAGGACCATTTATGGTAATAGGATAGACCCTGAGACCAGGGACTCATGGGGGTCGAGCTGTTAGTTGGAGAAGGTGTGTGCCGTTCATGGTCAGCATCACCTTTCAGGCGCTCTTTTGAACCAATCATAAACCAATCATAAACCCCCCTTAAACATGTTAAACCGCAAAATGGTACTCTTTGATTTGCTACTGCAATCTTCGGTAGCAAGGTAAATCCGTTTTGACCCACTCCATATTTCTTGAGATGTCTTGGATCGTCTTGGTCCAGTTTGGAATCCTTGATCATCTGATCCCACTGAGGAACTGAATAGATTAAGCATGAAGCCAGCCGAGTACATGGTGGCGCAGGCGGGAATGATGTGGAATTCCTGGAAAGACATCAACCAAACAGTGATTTCCCAGTAGAAACAAACTGATTTCTGGCTGAGATCATGGTAGCCTGGTAGAATTTCTTAGAATCAGGACAGTTCAGGACATCTGCAGCCACAGGTTCCCAAAAGATAACACGACCCTCCATGTTTTCTTTCAAGATGAGTGCAAAGTTGAGTGGATGGACACTACTTCCCCCCGCTACCCAGAACTGTTCAGGTCGATGTATTTTCATGCCAGTCTGTAACCTGGTGCCAGGTAACATCAGGTGACCTATTTCTAAGCTCACTTGATAAGACAATAACCATACAGAATCATACAGATACAAGGACTGTAAGGCCACTGTAAGGGCCTCAGGTAGGAAAACTAACTGGATAACCATACTTGGTATATATCATGTTCAACTGATTCAACCGTTCAAACTCCTGGTGTGTAGAAGCTTTCGCTGCTGTGTTTCCGGTAGGTGAAACAACCGCGCATGGAACATGTCAAAGCTGTTGGCGGCACCAAGCGTTCTTTGTTGATCGGCCTGGTCATTAGCAACTTGCCTTGACATGGGGATCATTGTTTGCTTTGACGCCTTGGCAAGACATCCTTGATCACTTGTTTAGAAGTATCACAAAAATTGAGATCAACTATAATATATATAAATTGAGATGAACTAAGATGAACTAAGAAGAATTAAGGCCAGTTAGGAACCGCAGGCTGCATCAGATCCTGCGTTATTTCCTTGTCGGATGGGGCTGCCGCAGCTGAACCTGGCTCCAGATTTCAACATCAGCCATTGTCCATCTGACAGTATTTCATCGATAATCTATAGATGAAATTAGATGAATCAGTACCCAATAAATGATAATAAATGCATATGCTGCATCTAGCATTTGGTGGTGTATTTTCCATCATCGATCATTTGATGTACATTCCATCATCCCATCCTGGCCATGCGTCGCAAGCCGGGAATCGCTGGGCTCATCAAAGAGAAGGAACAGCAAAGCGCCTTGAGTGCGGTGGGCGAACAGATCGAGGTCGGGCCGTTGCTGCGCCATGGAGCTGTGCTGATGTTGGAAGATAGTTGTATATAGTTGCAGTATGTTGTAGTGGCTATAGATCTTCAAGGGCCATCAAGTATCATGAAATAACACGTATAACGAGAGAGAGATATATATATATATGTGTATTAAAGGTCTACACTATTGTAATATCATGTTGTATATACAATATCGATGACATGTGATATGTATACACAGTATATATAACAATATCTAGGGGTACTGTATACTATAGAATATCACAACATCTATTTCTGGAAAATATATAGCAGGCTTATTACCATTGCATCACAATCGTTATATCTTATTATCTGGTTACCTATAGTATTTTTGTAGGTTGATTCAATGAGAAGTAGAATTGATATATCATATCGTAACCAGGCCTAATGGCAATACTGTAATACAGTAATACTTGTGGCGAGAACTTGTTTTCTTTGGAATGCTTCATGAAGTCATTTGTACCGTACTGGTGACTAACAGCTGAAGATTCAACGTCAGCTGATCCAGTAGTGCTGGGCCGGGAATTGCACGGTCATACTCCCGTCCCTCCTTAATAGTGTTTTCTCTGAAATGAGCAAGCAAAATAAATAGATCCAATACTAAACCTGGTTTGTTGGTTTGTTCTACTTGTAGTCAGTGATGATTGTATGGCATTATGTGACAGGTTAATTTATTTGCAACAATTGTATTGTATATAATGACAACAAATTATGATTCAATCATGATGTGTTTTTCACTTTTGGTTGCAACATATTTTGTCGCTGAAACAGTTCACATTATTTTGCAAAGCTGTTCAAGGTCTGATTCATGCTGACATCTCTTAATTAACTGTTCTATCACTCATAAAAATAATGTCAATAATGTGAACAACACATCCCCAGCCCCAGTGGTCCTGATGTCACGGCCAGGCAGATAAGAATCAGAATGCGAAGCAGCTACTCCAAACGTTGCAGAGCTCACTGCGAGACTTTGCCTCCAGACATCGAAACCGTAACTTCGACTCGATCTGCTGAGTGGATGAATTTTGATGTTCCCATTAGCAAATCCATCATTTGGGTCTCATTTAAAATTCATCTAAAAAAAACGGATTTCCTATAGACCTATGATACCCATTGGTAAAAATCAGTTTGTGTGTTTTTTTTTTTTGTGGGTATCATCTAAAGCAATTCACAGTAACTTCGAGACCATTGAGAGAGGTGCGCAGCTGGCAGAAGAGGTCAAATGGTGGAGTCGGATGAGGGTACATATGTTTGCCCCAAGTGTGAAACTACCAACGGGATCCAGAGGGTACCTAGTTCAGGTGTCACCCTAACGCGATTCCCTTACTGTAATCAAACATGGTTTGCCGGAAAGTCCAGTATTTAGTTCAAATGTTTTCCCATTCATAAAACTGTTTATTTAACATAGCTGTGAAACATGGCTCATTTATAGATAATCGTCTCATTATTTAACATAGCTGTGAAACATGGCTCATTTATAGATAATCGTCTCATTCAAAACTGCTTTTATAGTTTTTTTTCTCCATAGCTATAATGTCAAATAGCCAGAGGGTAAATGTTCCCACAGATGGCCGGAGGGTCTTCAACGGTTCCAGGCATCAATTCAGACCCGCAGTTCCGCAAGTCCTTTTGCGAGATGTGTATCGCTGCTGGGGTGGACCCCTTGTCCAGCAGTCACTCAGGTTGTGAACGCTTGGACATGGATGGAATTAATGGGACTTAGTAGGAGGGTCAAGTCATGGGTTTCAGTACTAGTCGTCATGCATTCATGACGACTGGATGATTTGGGGATATCATGAAAGCTGGGAAACCTCCAAATGGATGGATTGACAACCTGAAGGGTAGTCAAACATGGCTGGGAACTCCCACCAAATGGAGGTGTTTCTATGGGGAAATTATCAAAATAGATGGGTGATTTTCCAGTGCCATGTTTGATTGCCGGAAGGTAATTGAAGGATTGTTGAAGGAATCATGTTCTAACTGGGGTGATCGCTTTCATACCTGGGCCATGACCACATTGATTGACCAGAATCAAACAATGCCCTTATGATCCCTTGTTGGTGGATGGCTACAATGATTGGGGCATCATACCAGGCTTCGCAGATGATTTTGAGCCATCATGGGGTGATAAGGAAAGGCTCGGTGCATGGCATAGATTTGTTCCTTTGGGCAAAAGGCGCTTGAAGTGCAAACAACAGAACTACCTAATCGTTCAAATGCGTGGCACCAACATGCCCATGTCCCATACATGTCCCATGCACGTCCCAAGCATGTCCCAAGCATCATGCAGAGGTTTGTCACGTATCTCAGAAGACCCAAAGTTTCCCAGGTCTGGGTAGGACCCTCTTGTGCTGGGTCCTTCTCGGACCATCTGATTTTGAATCCTTCGTGGCTGGACCCCCTCTTAATTGCTGTGGCTGCTAGCTCAAAACATCTCAAAACTCACCAACACATCCAAGAAGAAACGCAACCAAAAAGCCAGGGGATCAGCATGGAAACTCACACAGAAAGCCATGAATTACCATCTGGTTATTTAACATAGCCATGGAAAATCACCATTTTTAATAGGTAAACCCAGGTAAACCATCTATAAATAGGCAATTTTCCATGGCTATGTTAAATAACCAGAGGGTAACACCGCCACTGGACCCCCAGTGCCTGAAAAACCACTGAGGTAAAGGTCTCTGGGATGAACTCCTGGGAGTTGGTCAGTTCTACAACGACCTGTCGGTCCAGGCCGCCCTTAAAGTCGACGGTTGGGTCGTGCTTCCCAATGGGTTTCATTTAGAGGTTTCCAATCCATGTGGATACCCCTAAATCATCCATTTGAATTGGATTTTCCATCATAAACCATCCAGCTATGGGGATCCACATTTATCGAAATCCCCATTTGGAAACAGATTGAAGGATAGTGAAAGCATTTATCTATACATATCTTATAAATCCAATGCAACCATCTGACTTATCAATTGCTCGCCCTCAGCCTTAGCGGAATCTACCGGATGGCGATGGAGGGAGAGAGAGAGAGATAGAGAGAGATGAATTGAAAAAGCACCAGATTTTTGGAAAAGCGTTGGCATTTTGGCAATCGACAATCCCCAGAAAATCTCATTGAGTTCAACGTGTTTCCATTTGATTGGCCATAGTTCCCGGTTTTCGCATGTGTGTTTTACCAAAGGGTATGCCGTTTAGATTCAAGATTGTCCCAGGTAGGATTGACTATTGAATTCGATTGAATTACCTATGATTCCATCGGACAAATCCTGTGATTGACTGTTGAATTGATTACCAAAGGGTGTCCTAGATGGTCATGATGTTCATGGATTTTTCATGGTTTTTTTCCCATATTTTTGCCTATGATTTTCTACTCCTGACTGTGGATCCTGAGCCCCCAGGTGCTGACCCAATGCATGCGCACGCGCGACGAGAACGGCGGTCTGCTGGATCTTCGTCAGTGCCTCCAGGGCCTGCGAAGAGCACGGCCCGGGGAGCGCCTGGCTGTGGAGGACGTGGAGCGCGCCGTGGAGTGTTTGGCACAGCATCCTGGATGAACTGGATGAATTTCTGGGTCATCATGGGATTTTACCATGATTTTACTATGATTTTACTATAGTTACTTAGTTTCTATATGTTTTTTACTATAGTTACTTAGTTGCTATAAGTTTTACCATCTCATAACCAAAAATTGTGAAGAATAATGGGATTTTATTGACATCTCTGGGTAATTTTAATCGTGGTCTCATTGTGACGTCACCCGGGGAATGATGGTTAGGAACCGGAATCATCCCCACATGCCTCATGAGAACATGTATTTTCAGGTTAGTTAATTATACCCTCTGGTTATTTAACGTAGCCATGGAAAATCACCGTTTTTAATAGGTAAACCATCTATAAATGGGCCATGTTCCATGGCTATGTTAAATAACCAGAGGGTAATTCAGCCAGATGAGTTGTGACAACATGTGACAACGTACCGCCAGATCACTTGAAAGGTAGTGACAGTGCCAACATGGTTTTGTTTATTCTGATTTCAGGCTGGTGAAATATGCCTAAAACTTGATAGAATGTACCTTGATGGGCCAGATGGGACCACCCTGTGGGAAAAAAGGCAAAACCCAGCTGGGCATGATTTTGAGGTTTTTCTTTTTGAATACTTCGTGATGCATACCATATAATTATTACATATATATATATATATGTGTGTACATTATATTACGGTACTTCAAATTGGAGCAATGCAATCTTTTAGATTATGAGCACATCCACTAAGAAATTGTACATGGCTAATGTGTCGCCCAAATCATCCAAATTGTGTAAACTGTCGCATGGTCTATACAAGATAAATTTGAGTTTTGCCACGTAACAATATGACATTTAAAATAGTGACTAGTGATATCTAGTGATCAAATCCAATAAATGATCATTGGTCATTTTGCCCAGGAAAATGCATTGATTGGTCGGGCTTCAGGTTGTGGAGTTGTGAGGGATGCT